CTCAAAATTATAAACTCAAAAAGTATTCAAACACTAGTACTACATTATCTAGGGGTAGAACACCGGAAGTAAGTTAGTCTGTCCTACTTCCGGTTTGAACCGATGCATAAGGAAAGTATAGCAAACTTTCCAAAAAGTGATCAATCTTTAGATCCTATCCAGTCAATTTCAAGAAATTTATTAATGATATGTTATATTCTTAGTAATTCAAGTTACAATAAGATGTGTATTTAACTTACCATACTAATCAAGAAGAATTTCATTATTAAAATTTACAATTTTCCATAAGTAATGCATGGTGTGTGAATAAAAATAGGTTCAACTACATATGTAAAATCATGAACAAAGGGAGATAACTCCAACTCAAATTTGTAATTTGCCAAGCTAAATACAACTCAATGTTTTATTTTAAATTCATAAAATTGCAAAATGAAAGCAATCTTTACCTGTCAGTGCTCACAAGCACTTTAATTTATATTAATGCGAATAATGCGACTTCGTGATTATCGCAATTGCAAGAACTCATTTTCTGATATATGATACATACATGCATATACATGTATCTTTATGCAGATTTTTCTACTAAACACAATAATTAATCAATCATTTTTGTCCATTCTTAAAAAAATCACAATAATAAATGCACACTAATTACTCAATTTACAGTATATGTATAACGACAGGCTGTCAGAGTGCCAGCAAACTGGATTTTACTGCAGAGGTCAAACCCTGAACAGTTGAGCAAGGATGGACACAACATTTAAGCTTAAAACACCTTTGAATTTGGATTGTGATTGAATATTTGACACAGCATAGGTTTGTGACACAAAACGAATGTGGCCAAAGAACTGAAAAATTTGAAATTGGCCATTTACCTTTTATGGTCCATTATCAAAAATCTAAGTACATTGTTAGAATCAGCATATCAAAGAACCCCAAGAATTAAATTTTTGGTGAAATCAAACAAAGTTTAATTTACTTATTAATAACACCGTTTCTGTTCAAAGGGAAATAACTCAAAATATAAACAAGAGACCAAATGACATAGAAATTAACAACTTTAGATTATTTTACACCATTTCTGTTCAAAGGGAAATAACTCAATTTCGAAAATCCGATTAAAAAATAAGTCATATAATAAATAACTGAAAGGTCTTCAACTCAACAACGAGAAAAGCTAAAATCGTGAAAATTGAAATTGACCTTCATTTAGTCACATGAAACAACATATCTAAATTTGTAAAGATTTCCTCAAAGCGTTTTCATGTTAATGAACGGACACTGTTTGGCAGCCGCCCGCCCGACCACTGTACATTCCCAAATCAATAACCGATTTTTCTTTCGAAAACCCGGTTAAAAATTATAATTAAATATATTATTACATAAGCATTATGAATATATGAAATTGTGAAAAAATATCGTTTAAAGCACTCCATCTATTTATTTACATACAAGAGTTCACTTTTGTTCATGCTTTAGACGAGAAGTTCACAGCAATAGAAAAAGTAACATGTTTATATCTATAATGGAGTTGAAAGTTTGGTCTATCACCAAATAAAAAAGTTATTCATGGGTGCACGTTTGTCTTGTCCTTTAGAACTCAGCGAAGAGGCTTGGATGAGGTTGAATCATTTTTGTCTTTTTTTTTACATATTGAGTCTTGATTATCTGATGTGTGACTAAATACCAAGAATGATTAAAAACAAGGAAATTATGCGTCCCATAATGTATCCTGGAAGATCTGGGTCGAGACACAATTTGCTAAAATAATGTTTCACCATAAAAGCAAACTGAATCTGTTAAGTCCCTGTTTGTCTAGGGTATGGGATTTAATAGATGCAGTTGAAATGTCACAAAATTTACGAAGAAGAATGGTTTCGAATTCCAACCAAGAGAAAATAAAATGATCCGCAGGGCTCGGCTTGATACGACCGCAGAGGTCTCCCCCTAAACAGTTGGGGCAAATATGGATACAACATTCAATATTGATACAGCTCTGAATTTGTTTTGTGATTAAATATTTGACACAGCATGGGTTTCTGACACAGAATGAATGTGGTCTAAGAACTTAAAATTTTGAAATTAGACATTTACCTATTGTGGTCCAATATCAAAAATCTAAATATATGGGTCGATTCAGCATATCAAAGAACTCCAAGGATTCCATTTTTGATGAAATCACACAAAGTTTAACTTTGGAGCCTTTGACCTCAATGTGGACCAATTTGAGAAAGGACCAAAGATTCAAAATTTTCCTTCGCGGTTCAATTCAGCATTTCAAAGAACCCAACATCTTCAATTTTTGTTCAAATCAGTTTATTTTGGATCAACTTGAAAACAGGGTCCCCAAAATCAAAAATCTAAATAATGTTTATATCAGAGAACAGCAAGAATTAATTTTTTGTTAAAATCGAACTATTTTGGACCCTTTCGACCAATTTGGAACGGGGCTCAAAATTAAAATTCTAAATTAAAGGTTAAATTCGGCATATAAAAAAAAACCAATAAGTCAATTTGGATGAAATCGAGAGTTTAATTTTGGACCTCAGTGTGGACCAATTATAAAACGGAGGCCAAAATCTTAAAACACGGTAAGATTCAGCATATTAAAGACCTACAAGAATTTCAAGGCTGTGAATTAAACCCTATTGAAATTGGTCGAGAAGTAAGCAATTTATACAAAGTATTAGAAAAATATTGTTTTTGGACCCTTTATTTATGACCATCATTCCCCAAGTCAATCCCAACCTTCCTTTTGAGGTATGGAACCTTGTGGTACAATTTCATAGAGCACTTGAACACAAGTTATAGTCCTGAAATAAGAAAAAATGCTTGTTTTGTTCCCATAATTCCTAAACAGAAATCAACCTCAACCTTCCTTTTGCGGTATGGAACCTTGTGGTACAATTTCATAGAGATCCATACATTTAAAGTCACGTCATTGCCTTGAAACCAAATGTATCCGGACGACGACATCATACCATTATACGACCGCCAATTTTTGCGGTCGTATAAAAACACAGCAAATGGCAAAAATCGTCATTTAGGGACAATTACTAATGAGGAGTCAACCAAAAAGTTCCGCCATACTGATTATTTATATAGATCTTGTCTTGCTGATTGTTTTTGCCTTTTAATGTTTTTATCTATCTATTAAACTTTTCAAGATAATAGGCGAAACGTAAAATGGTTAACATGGTCATTTAAGGACAATAACTCCAATAATGAGTCAAACGATGATTTGTTTACTTATTTGTAGGTCTTGTCTTGCTGATCATTTATGCTATTTAAAGTTTCTCAATGGATAAAAGTTTTCATAATAATAGAAAAAGAAGTAGGGCCAATAAGGCCCTTATTTGTCCCAAATATTAGTGCATATCAAAAAGTAAAAATACCTGTTACCTGACCTTTTGTCAAACATGTTCTTAAATTTGTACAAACTGCTAGTATACTAGAGGTAAAAGGTGTTTAGAACATACAAAAAAATCAAGTTAAACGTGTTTCCATGGAAACACAATGTATCATATTTTTCATGTCGGACCCTTTTATAGGCAACTATACGGTTTGGGTTTTTCTCATTGCTGAAGGCCGAACGGTTGCCTATAATTGCTTACATCCATTTCATTTGAACTTTGGTGGATAAATGTTTCATTGGCAATCATACCACACCTCCCTTTTTCATAATGATCAGATTGATATATTTTGTTACTTTTCTTGAGTTTCCTTGTTTGACATTAAATTTTAGGTATGTTTTGTATTGGAAAACGACATGCACACCAAAAACAACTTAATGGTATTATGTCAATAGCTGTAATAAAGCTTCCGTCAACTTATTTTGTTGTTTATTGGCTGTACATGATGTTTCCACAAAGGAATATGGAAGGAAACTGCATAAATTCAGCAGTTTTCTATGTTTTTGTGAAAAAGGAGCATCATATGTTGTAACTGTGAGGCCTACCAAAAAATTTAAGTACTTTACTATGTTTCTTGAACTTATGTATTTTCAATCATTATTTGCAAATTGGAAATAGTTCTCTTAATCTTTATGTTAATGGGCCAAAATATAGGATCGCTTTATTGTGCTTCCTAGACATATAAATGTTAAAGGCTAAAAAAAGAGAGAGAAAGACAAGAAACAGGGAATTAAAATCCATGGCCAATAAATACATATACAACACTAGATAAGTCCGGTATTTTCCTGTAATTTTTTTTTTATAAAACCCACACCATTCGAAGCACCAAAAGGAATACATTTGTTTCGAAATATAATGCTTTCTTTAAAAAAAATTTAACCACTTTACACAGTAAAAATAAAATGTTGACACAGAGATATGTCTGGCCTTTTTGTAATTCTGATAGTATAATGCAAATGTTGAATCCAAATGGCAAGGTTGGTTTGGGGTTGGAATGACCTGATACCATCGGCGTGACCACTAGCGTGTTGCACATTTTAGTTCTTGTATTACATCTGTTTTCGTTTTTGTGACCTCTGTTTTTAATTTTTCAACGTCTGTTTTTTTTTAATTTATATTCGTTTCGTACTTGATCTCTGTTGTCTGTTTATTTTTAATGATATGTCTGTTTTCGTTTATGACCTCTGTTTTTAATTTTTTTACCGTTTGTTTTTTTGTTTTTTTGTTGTTTTTTTTTTTTGCTATTTAGGCATCACTCCCTACTCTTGGAAAAAATCGGGGTTCTTTCCGACCCATTCGGTTCACCACAAACAATATTTTTACATATGGTATAGTAATTAATTAGAATTATCTAACTTCCATGTTTGTTTATACCTTTTCGCGGTTGCCAAAAAACTAACGAGAGTTGCCGTAGTTGAGATCACTGCTAACGAAAAAGCTATAGGCGAATTAGAATACGGGAAGGCAATATCTCAATAGCAGTACATTTCTGAAGACTTTGATAGAAAAAAAATATTTGGTTCAAAAGAAAGTCGATGTACACGTGTCTTATTATAAAACTTAGCGATTCAATCAAATAAAACACAATCAACTGTTTTTTTTTAATTTGAAGTATTATATAACTTTAACAGATAAGTGAGAGAAAAAACAACACAAAAACAATTAAGGCTACTCAAAGAATGTAGAAATTATTTGATTAATACATCACTACAAAAGTATCAATATTTAGAAAAAAAAGCAAATAATATGGGCAAACTAAACTCGAGGCAAAATTGATTTTGTTTGAGATAATTTGTTGGTTGCATTTGAATAGGATTGAGTCATATAACTTAGTTTTTTTCTACCTGAAAGATACACAGGAAGCTGGTATATTAAATGAAATCAAACAATGTTATAATGCTACTAAAGAAATTGTTTAAATACTTTATTTTAAGAAAAACAATTGTAAGCATCCATATCATTTAATGGTGAAAACTACATTTATCAAAATGGTTAATTTTAGATATGAAATATTCAGTTTACTGAAAGAAGGTGACGATTTATCATCTGTCAATTAATGCTTTCTTTTATAAAATAAAAATGTGCGTTAAAACTTTAAATTTTGTGTAATATTTAGTTAAAGCAATATTATTTTTTTAATTTGTCATTTAAGAACATTAATGCATTTAGGAATCTAGTTTAAACAAATTACCTTCCCTGCAAACTTTTGAAAATTTTATCTTTTCTATTTAAAATTTTACCAAAGATACGACATGTTTGTCAAATTATTACTGTCATACATGTGTCCAAGTGCAGAATAGTGCTTTTCTTTTTTTCTTAAATTAGCACATGATAATAACTAGCGGACATTTTAAAAACCAGCATTCATCAATCTGTAACAAAATCAATCTGAATCATAATGCATTGTTTATGTATCGTGAAAACAGTTAAAATGTATTCCAGTAATATTGTTGTTATTCCAGCTTCAAACTTTATGGATATGGATTTGTGTATGTTTCCAATTACTCATTCTATCCGTTTATTCGTTTCACGTGATTTTGTTTAGCCATGTCCTTTTTGTACATACCTACATTTTTTGTTATGATATATGTAAACATTTTATTACTAAAGTTTTTATTATATTTTCAAATATTATTATATTAATCTAGTTACTGTCTTCCACTAAAACTCTTCTATATGTACATGGGTTTGGTTGTATTCAGATTTAATTTTGAGGTTAAAATAATCAGTCGTTTTGTCAAATCATTCTGATGAACCTTAGAACAATTTAGAAGTCAAGGAAGTAAATTTGAAGGTCACCACGAATTCTATCTCTTGTCATCCAAACCTGCCTTTCTATTCTTTGGTCGTCATGCTGGTTTCTTTCACGCCGATCTCGAGTAACATCAATTTTTGGCCTACAAGTATAAGAACTACTTGTTTACGTTAACATGTCATGCCCTATCATAATCACTATGTCTGCGTGTCCGTCCGTGAGCCTTTTTATGTTGTACGATAAGTCAAGATTGTCTCAACCATGTTGTTCCTTTCGTTTTTGTTAATTATGATAAAACTTTCTCAGACTTTGAAAAGAAAGACAAACTTTAAGCTATAATATTATTATTTTAATATGAAATTGACATATGTATTCTGATACTGCCAAAAGGTTTTGTGGTATGTTGGGTGTAAAAATTTCCATAAAAAATTTTTTTTTTTGAAAAAAAAGTCTTTCTGTTCAGAGATTTCAATGAACATTGATATGTGGATATAGAAAGTTATTCCAAAATTGAGTCCAGGTGTGCAAAAAATCAAATATGTAGTAAAAACAAGCTTTCTTGAGTTTCCTAACAAAATCATAAATTATAAAAACGTCATTAGATGTGATATAGGATTTCAACAGACATCGATATATACTTTTAATATACCATTGAAAAATGTTTCCAGGTATCAAACACAAAAGATTATTGGTAACAAAATTTTGTTTAAATTCACGATGAGAAATGTATTATTTGTTACCATTTTCCTAAGAATTAATATGCAGGTACAATGTATAAGATGCATTTGCAGATTCCTGGTGTTAAATTTGCAGTGAATTAGGTATTGTGCAAACTTAGTTATTGTTAAATCAATCAATTAGTTTGAGAAATGTCTCTTTATGCTAGGATGTCAACAAAAAATGATATATAGGTGAAATAAGGTATTTCATTAGGCGCAGGACATTCTGGCAAATTGTTTTTTATTTTCTAGGGACATTTCAGCGCAGACTGTATAGCCCATTTTAGAATTTCAAATGCGACGTCACTTTGTGCGTTGATGCTTTGGCTAACTCGGCTGTGTATTTTTATATGTTGGATTGAGTTTTTTTATGTAATGTATCCGTTTTTATTCTGTAGTTAGTCCTCACTTCGGTTTTATCATGTATATCTATTATATAGTCATTTTATAAAATTTACTGTTTGCAAAATTATAAATTATTCTAAATAATAAGGATGTTCTTGTCCCAGGCAGAAAACCCTGGCCGTGTTAGGCGCAACTTTTTGGAAGTTTTGGTCCTCGGTGCTCTTCGGCTTTGTACTTGTTTTGGCTTTCAAGCTTTTTTTCATCTGAGCGTCACTGGATGGTCTTGTGTGGACGAGACGCACGTCTGGCGTATTGAATTTTAAGCCTAGTACCTTTTGTTAGCTATTATTCGTGTGTTTCTTTGTCCTATATGTTCTCCCATTTATTTGTATTTTGGTCCTGTCATGTGATGTTGTCGTCTTGGTGTTGTGTTTGACGTTGCCATTAAAGCGGGAGGTTTGGCATGCCACAAAACCAGGTTCAACCCACCATTTTTTTCTTAAAATGTCCTGTACCAAGTCAGGAAAATGGCCATTGTTATATTATAGTTCGTTTCTGTGTGTGTTACATTATTAATGTTGTGTTTGTGTTGTGTCGTTGTTCTCCTCCTATATTTGATGAGTTTCCCTCAGTTTTAGTTTGTAACCCGGATTTGTTTTTATCTCTATCGATTTATGAGTTTCGAACAGCGGTATACTACTGTTGCCTTTATTTAGCCGGAATAATCTGTTCACTTGTAATTTTGATAGCACATTTTAGCTAAAACATTCAGGTTTAATAATATCCACCATACTAAAACAGTTATTTATGCTGGCATAGGGTTGAAATTGTTTGCAATTCCAACTGATTAAACATATACTAAGGTTTTTAACAAAAAATGATGATTTGATATACTGCATTCCAAATTGATCCTCAATGTTTTTCTTTTTAAAAGCTTGTGATTTTACTAGAATTTCAATGCAATTCAATATGCATGTATAACTTGCTATTTAAAAATGAGTACCTGTTTTAAAAAAATACGATTTACCACCACTTACCTAAAGATGCGCTTTGGTCGATTAGTTTTCTCTTGGTCATATTCCCTGTTTCCATTCTCTATTCTAAATTTACACCAAAATATTATTTGCTTTGATTTTAACAACACTTTATATTTATTGAGAACTCATTTTGAATTAAATCAAAATTAATGAAAATTGACACCATATAAACACGAATTGTATGCTTCCTCTGTTTCTCATCTAACAACCTCCAATAGATGCATCAGCTGACATGTCAGTTTTCTAGTTTACTCGATGCATGTAAGATGGTAAACGTTAAAGGGGCAGTAGCTACGAGATATAGAAAAAAAATTAAATATGATTTGTTTTTGTTCAATCATTAATGAAAGTGAAATAGTGAAATAAAAAAATAAAATAAGCAAAGAAACATTGCTAATTAATTATTCACTTGCAAGTGAATAATTCGACATCATTAAATCCGTATTCATGTGAACTTCAATTGAACCTTTTAGCTAGAGATGGGTTACGCATGAACTATTCGTGTTCAGCTAGTAAAAGGAAAAGAATGTCAACATTGAAAGTGAAACAAGGGTAAACCATTTGATTGACTGATTCGATCTACAAAAACTCATTCTTATACAGGTAAAATCGATTATTTACATATTGTTTTAACCTATAATATGAAATCAAACAGACCTAGAAAAATCCATTTGCACGAGTTCGCTATCTATTTATATCTATGTTTACTTTACAACGATTGTGTATACCAACGGTAGACTTCAAAAGGTCAGCTAGATGGCGTCTAGACTAAAATACACATTAAATGCTGAAACATAATTTCGAGTTTATGCATCGTTAATTGTTTATTTGAGACTTTTTTTTATTTGGATATACGTTTTAGTATGTTATAAGTCAAATATGAGAATTTGAGTCGAAACGGTGAACATGAATTTGACAGCTAGTGCCCGTTAAAAGAATTTGTACTCAGCCTGATATCCAGTTGGAAATATCCAAAAGAAAAGTGTATCAGAAAAGGTAATAATGGTCAAGTTGGTATATTTAAATTGTTTACTTTTTCCATAGCCTTAATAGTTTAATGAAGGTGCTTGATTTAGGATTTTTTTTTTTGCATCTAACATACGTGTTTATACTAAAAGTATAGTACTCTAGATATTTTAAACTATTAAGTTAAAAATAAAATTTACAAAACATTAGATTATTGAAGGTGCAAATACATTTGGATCATTAATATGCATAAGCATGAGAACAATCCACAGGAAGATGAAAGACTGATGTTTTTAAAGCATTAATTTTCATATCTGCCAAAGACAACAGTTTTTTTTTGTTCGGGGGGATCATTAAAAGGGGCAATATTCTTATCGAAAAGAGGAAGTCGGCTACATTTGTTTACGTTCAGGCGTGTTTATGTTGACTGTTTTGTCTTGAAAACGTATAAAGCAATATTTGATACATAATCAAGATTCTATTATTCTTATATATATTTCGGCTACATGTTAAATGGGCATTAGCTGCGATATATATATAAACAAATAAAATATGTTTTTTTTTGTTCGTTAATTAATAAAAGTAAAATAGTGAAATAATAATTCGCTTTTAGCAGCAAGTTTGGTTCAATTTTGTCAAAATAAGCTAAGAAACATCGATGATGAATTATTCACTTGTAAGTGAATAATTTGACCTCGTTGAATCCGTATTCATGTGACCTTCAATTTAACCCCTAAGCTAGAGATTGGTTAGGCATGTATAAGGCGTGTTCAGATATTAAAAGGAAAAGAATGTCAATATTTGAAAGTGAAACCAGGGTAAACCATTTGATTGACTGATTCGATCCATAAAAACGCATTCTTATACAGTTAAAAACGATGATTAACCTGTATTTATAACATATATTATGAAATCAAACAGACCTTGAATATTTTTATGTTTATATCGGGTTATATGACCGTCGGAAGTTTTCGGAGGTCACTTCGATAGTTTATTAGATAACGTCTAGACTAAAATACACACGAAATGTTGATACATATTATCGCGCCCATGAATTGTAAATTGTTTATTTTAGACTTTTTTATAATTTGGATATACGTTTTAGTATGTTATAAATCAAATATGAAAATTTGAGTCAAATCGGTGAACATGAATTTGACAGCTGATATGCCCCTTTAATATAATAACAATATAATATATGGGTCAGGACAAATACCTTTCTCATAACAACAGATTTTGTGTGTTTGAATAACAAAATAAAAAAGCTTCGTTACACTAAAAACGTTTAAACTTTAGGTGTTTTATTGACTTGTTATTATTTTTTTTTAATTTTCGTTAATCCATTTTTAATTAAAATTTAAGCATTTCAATCTTTTATTCCTAAAAAAGGGGAAAAGTAGTTCACTAATACCCCCTTAAATTTTTAATAAAATTCCTTGACAATAGACTTTACCTATGGATCTTTTTTATTCATGATTAAGCTTTTAAAAAATTGTATGTGTTATCTAGGGTTATTAGTCTTCAAACTCTGATATTTTCAGTCGGTCCTTCGACGAAATATTTAAATCGATTTTCTTTTATTAATATTGTTTTTGAACTTTTCAAAATTACCCCTGACAACCAATCAGACAATAGTTAAAAATTTACAAAGGACCTGAAAGGACATTATATGATACCTATAGCCAGTAGATACATTTGTCTATTTAAAAACAACTGGCATGTAAAAGAGAGGTGATAGATACCAAACGGACGTTCAAACTCATAAGTGGAAAAAAATACTGACAACGCCATGGCTAAAAAATAACAAACAGATAAAAAGTACACAAAACAGAACACGAAATAAGGATCATAATGATCATAATGATGCCAGGTGGATACATTTGTCTGTTTTTTTTTTAATTAAGAGAACTAAAGTGATATCGCGTCATCCCTACAATAAACTCCATTTTCGCGATTGAAAAACATTAGGTGGCGTAATGGGAAGATAATTTTGAGGAAATAGAATCCTGGCTGTACTGTCGTTAATCATTCGTGAATCACCATTGTTTTCATTAAATTTTCAGTGAATATTTTGCTCGTAGTTCAGTATTCCCATTTCTTACCTTGTATTGTTCGATTTGACTTTGCTATACATTAATCCAATGACCACAATACTGAAGACTAGTAAAACTATAACTAATGCTATTGCCAAAATTGATTTCTTGTCATCTAAAACAAACAAAAAACATTAATTTAAGCTATTTTGGAAGTCATTTAACTTTTTTTACTTTCCGATGCCTCTGAGTCCACATCCAGATCAGTTTGGTAATATTTGTGTTTCTTAATCTTTCGGTTTCTGTGAAGTTATAAAAAGTTGTTTGTGTGTTTCTATGTTTTCTGTTGAAGATTGTTATAAAATTTTATTCGAAATTTGGGTTTTGATTGGCCCTTAGTATCTTCTTTTCTGTTTGTATCAATGTATAATAGTTTTGTTTACAAGAGTTTATACTATGAGCCAAAATTATCCTATGGGAACATGGTTTAGTCAAAATAGTAATTTCAGTAAGCTAGATTTCTATGTAACGCTTTCTTGTTTTTCTTATATTTTCATTTTTTTTTTTGGAGGGTGGAGGGAGGTCAAATTTGTTTTAATTACACGGAATATTAACAATACGAGTCCATTTTTCATAACTGCGAATATGCTGTATATATATTTTTGACAATCACAAAAGGGATTATGGAGTCTAAAATAACAAAAATACCGAACCCCAAAGGAAATTCAAAACGGAAAGTCCTTTATAAAATGGCAAAATCAAAAGCTCAAACACATCTAACGAATGGAAAACATCTGTCATATTCCTGACTTGATACAGGCGAAGTAATTCAACATGCCATCTTAATCATATTTTTACAGATATATTTCTATAAAAATTACCGCACAATATTACATTTGATGTTGACCTACCTGGTTTGTTTCCAAGGTTAAGCTATTTTTAATTCTTAGTTATGTTTTAGTATTCAAAATTATCATGATCTGCATGCATGAACATTTTGATAAAACTCTTTCTGTCAGATTCGCGACATTGTGTATATAAAGATTTAAAGTGAAAAACTACTCATCAAAGATACCAGGCCTATTTATTGATGGACAAACTAGGATAGAATCTTAGATTTAAAAACGATATAGTATCTGTGCCGAACTTTTGGGTCCAATTTATATATGATATGGCATTTTCCAAGTCATGGGAGTAATGGCAAGATACAAAATTAATTTTCTATTTACATTGTGTCATAGATCAAATTTATTCGTTCAGTGTATGTTCACTTGTATTTGTTAATATGTCTTTTGAGGTGAGCCATTTCAATTGTATTTTATAGTGTGTCTTTCTATGTTGTGATGTTACACTATTGTTTCAAGTTAGGGTGAAGGTTGGCGCCTATTAAAACGTTTAAACCCACTGCATTTGATTGCCCCTGTCCTAAGCCAGGAACCTGATGTTCAGTGGTTGTCGTTTGTTGAAGAGGCTCATAAGTGTTTCTCGTTTCTCGTTTTTTATATAGATTAGACCATTGGTTTTCCTGTTTGAATGGTTTTACACTAGTCATTTTTGGGGGTCCTTTATAGCTTGCTGTTCGGTGTTAGCCAAGGCTCCGAGTTGAAGGCCATACTTTGACCTATAATGGTTTACTTTTACAAATTTTGACTTGGACGGAGAGATGTCTCATTGGCACTCATACCACATCTTCTAAAATCTATCGTCAGAAAATAGATCAAGTTAAAAAAAAATCAAGAATGAAAGAAAAAACTTTCTATAACATCCTTGGTCATCATTTGTTTAAGGTGAAACCCTTTCTGGACAAGGAACTGAACCGTCCCCGAAAAGAAAGTTAAAGCATTTGATTTTCTTGTTCTTTAATCATATGCTACCTATTGAAACTCCTAACTTCTTATCTAGCTGCTAAGCAATAAATCAATATATTTCGATACAAGTCATATTTACAGTACTGATAAGGATTTGTAACTGATTTATACTGTTGATTCATTTTTATTCGTGGTATACCAATTTTCGTGGGTTTCGTGGGTCACAGCGATCAGCGATCCACGAATTTACGTATACCACGAAACGTCTTTTTTTCTCTATCCACGAAAATTGATACCAACGAAAATAAATGAATCCACAGTAATGCAGTGACGTAGAAAAAGTGAAGTCGCACAGGCGACAAGAACATTTCGATGATATTTTAAATGTATTGTTTCATTTAATTTTAAATATTCATGAAGTTTGTCCCACGGCTGGTGCTAAACATATTTGGATATTTTCTTTACCGCATAGTTTTGTGCGCATAGTTAACATAGTCATCGAGCATGATTGAGTTCTTTCTGGTTTACTTTTTATGGTTGATTAAGCCAACTGGATTTAAGGAACAAGTGTATACCTCGGAAGATAATAATATTTAACTCAAAAGTGGTTGAGTTTCAAACTCGGTATGCTTTATTTAGATGTAAACTAATATTTGTTTTGGTTAATAACGTCTTTAAATAAAGATTTTTTTAAACATTAATAACAGCTGAATATTTCCTGGTAAGCAGTCAGTTTGATTCAAAGTCGTAAAATTAAGCAAACAAAACAAAAACAATATCGCAGATGTGTTATTTTCCTGCAGGTGAATGATTCAACCTCATTGGAATCCGAATTCATGCAACCTTTTAATTTGAACTTTAGTGGAGACGGGCTGTGCATGCATTTAGCACTAGTAAAAGAAATAATCCTTTCATATTGTTGTACATGTATAACCCTATAAACGTAAAGTATATTATTTAAGGATAGAATGCCTTTTTAGATTTTTTTTTAGAGTTCCAAAGGCGTTGATCGTGCCTTCATATTTTGAATGAAGCTCTTTCGCTCTACATACATAGATTCAAAACGATATAGTATCTGTGCCGAACTTTTGGGTCCAATTTATATATGATATGGCATTTTCCAAGTCATGGGAGTAATGGCAAGATACAAAATTAATTTTGTATTTACATTGTGTCATAGATCAAATTTATTCGACCAGTGTATGTTCACTTGTATTTGTTAATATGTCTTTTGAGTTAAGCCATTTCAATTGATATTTTATAGTGTGTCTTTCTATGTTGTGATGTTACACTATTGTTTCAAGTTAGGGTGAAGGATGGCGCCTATTAAAACGTTTAAAACCACTGCATTTGATTGCGAAATACACAAAACTTTAGTGGAAACGGGCTGTGCATGCATTTGGCATGTAGAAAGCGTGCTCATTTCTTCAAAAGAAAAAAGTCAACATTGATACGCGAAACAAGGGAGCCATCAGGAATAACAATTTTGTTGACTGGTCTGGCCCACAAACAATCAGTCTTATACAGGTTAAACGATGATTTAATAACGTATTATAGTATTCTTTTATTTGTCTTTTTTTAATATTACTTTGACTGTTTAGTCTATTTTTGGTGATACTCATTTGACGTGACTCGGTACTTATACATCCCGTCATTGTGTTATTGTGCTATGGTACATTTTTGTTCTTGTATTTCATTGTTGCTTATGTGCTTTGTCTATATGCCTTTTAGCGTTTCTTTGTTACATATTTGTTTGTTTTTATAGTGAATAAAAATTATAACACAATGTTGATTATTGTACCCCTATTTTGAAATTTTTACCTATTGTGTCTGTTTGATTTGTTCACACATCATTCTCAATATAATGGTATTGTATGGGACTGTCATACAAGTGAGAGGTTTAGCTAGCTATAAAACCAGGCTAAATCCACCATTTTCCACATAAGAAAATGTCTGTTCCAAGTCAGGAATATGACAGTTGTTATCCATTTGTTTGATGTGTTTGAGCTTTTGATTTTGCCATTCAATTAGGGACTTTCCGTTTTGAATTTTCCTCGGAGTTCGCTTTTTTCGTGATTTTACTTTTTACATATATTTTCAACGGAAAACATAATATAAAACATAGAAAAATTGTCATTATGAGATCGCACGTGGTTATCTGTATTTATGTTTATCTTTGTATATATCGGGTTATATGAGCCTTGACATTCTTCGGAGGTCATCTCAATGGATAATTTGAGGATGTCTTATCAAAAATACGCACGAATTACAGATACATTATAACGAGTCCATGCATTGTTAATTGCATGTTTTGTAAGTTTTGCAATTAGGATAAACGATTTAGTATGCTATAAAAACAATACAAGAATTTTGGTCAAATTGGTTAATTATTATGCTGACAGCTGAAACATGCCTCATTAAGCAAAATGCTAGTATACACATAAGTGGAAAGATATATGAACATATGTTAAATAGGGAGTTCTAATATAACATTTTCAGGAGGATAAACGTATAATAGGAAGACATACTACAAAACATTGAATACATATTCGTTGGAACGAATTTGCCAAACGAATATTTCATGATTCTTTAAGCTACGTTCTGACTTACCTTGAATTGTTTGGAAAATTGTCATTACACCCGATAAGCCTTCGGTAGTGCGCACATGATCAGTCGGGGAAACATTTTCTTCATCTGATAAAAGAAATTAGTTTAAACAAATTTTATTGCGAAATACACAAAAGCATCTTACCCAAGTTGTTCCAAATTTCAACGATCGTCTTCAGTTACTTAGTCTAGTAATAAACAAGCTTTATAAACATGCATCAGCGAAAACAATAAATAAACGTACAAATGTATGTATAAACAAAAAGAAAATGCACAATTATACTGAATGATGGATTGTCTACTGAAGTATATTTCAGAAAAAAAAGACAAATGACGTCGAAAAAGAAAAAAAAAAGTAGAGAAAAGGGTGGTTGAAATAACAAAAAATAAGTAAATGGATTATCGTTGGAAAATAGATACAGATGGGGAAGAAAAATAAAAAATTAAAAAATGAAAGATATAACATCCTTGGTCATTATCTGTTTCAGGTGACAACCCTGTTGGAAAAAAAAATGAAACGTCTCCTAAAATAAGATTACGAATTTAATTTCATGTTACTTTAATCATATGTTTTCTATTGAAACTCCTAACTTTTATCGAGCTGCGAGGCAATAAAATTAAATCAATTTATTTCTATACACGTCAGATTTTTAGTATTAATTAAGATTTGTAACTGTATAAAAGAACAGGATTTATGAAACGAGTATATTGCTCGGAATGGGAGAATATCTAATTCAAAAGTGGTTGAGCCTGAAACTCGATATGCTCTTTTAGATGTTAATTTATTTATTTTAGTTGAAGACGACTTTAGAAGAGCATTAGCTACTAAGAAGAAAAAAAATTGATTTTTTTTTGTTTTTTGGTTTCAAACATTTATAAAAGCGGAATACAGAAATAATTTTTCTCTTTAAGCAGTTAATTTTGATTCAATTTCGTCAAAATAAGCTAAAAACAACCCTTTACCGATGTATTTTTAGCTTGCAGTCAATAATTCAATCTCCATGTTTTGAATCCGTATCCATGCAATCTTTAATTTGAACGTTAGAAAAGATGGGCTGCTCATGTGTTTAGCATGTAGTAAGAGTGTTCATTTTATTAAAAGAAAAAAAATGTCCATGAATAACCATTTCATTGACTGAGCGGCACACAAACAAAATATTCTTAAAAAGGTAAAACGGTGATTTACATTTTTTGAAATGTATAATAAGAAATTAAATAGACCTTGAAAAATTGTTCTATACGATTACATGTGCTTATCTGTCTATTTATATTTATGTATGTTTATATATCGGGATATATGATCTTCGGCATTCTTCGAAGGTCATCTGGATGGATAACTAGATAACGTCTAGTTTAAAATAGGCACGATATCCGGTATGGGTTATTCTCATTGTTGAAAGCCATACGGTGACCTATAGTTGTTTTAAATGTCTGTGTGATTTGGTCTATTGCTGAGAGTTGTCTCATTTGCAATCATACCACATCTTTTTTTATACGAATTGCCGATATATTGTAACGAGTCCATGCATTGTTAATTGTATCTGTGACATTTAAATATACGATTTAGTATGTTTTTAATAAAATATAAAAAAAATTATGTCATGTCGGTGAATATAAATTTGAGAGCTAATTGTGTATCTTTAAGCAAAATATACACGGATATATTTTATAGCATATGTTAAATAGGAAGTGCTTCACTAACATTTTCAGAAGGATAAACTTACGATAGATTACATACAACTAAAAATTGAACGAAAAAATCGTTGAAAAGAATGATTTATCAAAAGGGCGTTTCATGATTCTTTAAGCTACTAGTACCTTCTGACTCACCTTGAGTTGTTGTTTGAAAAATGACACTCGATAAGCATTCGGTAGTGCACACATGTTCAGTCGGGAAAACATTTCCTCCATCTGATAAAATGGAAAAAAAATAGTTTAAACATATTTTATGGCGATATACATCGGACCCAAATTACAAAGGTCGTCTCAGTTACTTAGTCTATTAATAAACAAGTAATATAAACAAAGGCAACAGTAGCATACCGGTGTTCAAAAGTCATAAATCGATTGAGAGAAAACAAATTCGGGTTACAAACTAAAACCGAGGGAAACACATCAACTATAAGAGGAAAACAAAGGAACATCAGGAACACTGAAGTGCAACAAAAACAAACGCCAGCGTACATAGAAACGAACTATTTGATAACAACTGCCATATTCCTGAATTGTTACATGACATTTTAAGAAAAAAATGGTGGGTTGAATATGGTTTTATGGCTAGCCAAACCTCCCGCTTATATGACAATGTTAAAAACATCGCTAAAATGACAACACTACGTGACAGAAATACAGCACAAACACACGCAAGAACACTCATCACAGAGAGACGCACAAACAAACATACATCAGCAAAAAACAAATAAATGTTCAAATGTGTGTAACAAAAAGAAAATGCACAATTATACTGTATGATTGAATTGTCTGCTGAGATATATTTCAGAAAAAACCCAAATGATGTCAAAAAAGGAACAAGATCAAGTAGAGAGAAGGATGGTAGAAATAAAAAAATTAATTGAAAATAAAAAAAAACATATGATTTATGATAAATAAGTCAAATTTACCAGTAAAAGAAATAATCCTTTTACACGTATAGCCCGATAAACTTAAAGCTATAGGGACATAATTAAGAAAAAATGAAAATATTCATTGAAGTAAAATGATTTGTTGCTTTAATTGAAAGTGCTGTCATGGAATTACTTAGGAAGGGTAGGAAACATTTTTATACATAAAACACAAAGTTTTTAAGACTAAATGACAATTATTATAATATATATATTCAGATTTAGCAAAAGACAACCACTGTCAATGTTTGTAATACAAGATAGTCAAACGAAGATATGGTGGGATCAAACTTGTGTTTTAAAGATCTAACCGTTAAGCCTATACCCGTGAAAAATGAAAATGTAAATATCATCAAAGGACTCGATCGCTTATATAATCGCAAGGATCAGGGCCCGTATGCATAAAGCTACTTAAGCTAAGATTTGTTCCGAACGCACGGATTTTTCTCAATGTCCTACGATAAATTAGCACTACGATTGGATGAGTGTGTGCATACGGGCCTTGACACAAATATTTGATACTGACGCAAACAAGAAATACAAGCCAAACATGATATACGTTTATATTAAAAGATTAAGTTACTACGCATTGTTATACTGCCTATTTGCAAAAAAAACAATATCTACAAAAAATGTACTTAATTTAGAAATACATAAGACTACATTATAAAAAAACTGAATTAGTAAGACTATGATGACGACAAAGTAAAATAACAAAGTGAAAGTCAGACAAATGCAAATTAAAGCAAATTGCAAACAAACAAACAGACTATATAGATAACGAAAGGTTCATTTCTTATAACGAATTATTTAAATAACTCGAAAAGGAACAGTTAAAAAATAAAACTATGAACATTTCCACTTTTTGTCTGTTAATAGCGCTGTCTGTCATATACCATTTACTCAAGCACTAACGGAAGCATGCCTCAGTCCGATAAGCACTCTTTTTTCTTGAATTTTTTTTTTCTGCAAGTCAGCATGCAATTTATCAAGTACTTCCAACGAATTTTTGACACTCCAAACGTAATTAATTCCACCATTTTTCCACCTTACCGTATTGTTGGTGGAAAGACGTTATACATGCAAGTAATTTTTTTGGCATGACACTTATTGATAGATTGTAATCACGATTTTTATCGTTTGACGTCTGACTTAATAGAAGAATACGGCTAAATAGTGAAATATGAGTTTCAGATAAATATTCCTAAAGTTATCAACATAGAGAAGTTCTCGCTTGGACACACACTTCATTAACTTGTATATTATATAAGAGCATAAACATGAAGCAAGGGGAGGCACTCTACTGTCTCCATACGGCACTGAAGACAAACTCTGTAAAAAGAAATGAGAATGGAAGCGGTGCATTGTTGGAAACTATTCAATTCATTTGTACGGGCTTTCAAAACAGGATAAAAAGCGAGGCTTGCCGAGCTTTTATCTTATTTCAAGGTGATTTATTTTCGATATTGTACATATTTTGTATATAATAAACAATAATAAATTGATCAAATTGAATTACTTTAAGAAAAGCTTTTTTGTGAGTATTTTAACAATAAAAATACAAACCATAAACCTTTACGCCTACTACACCATAAGGTCTAGTATATGACTAGCTACTGCTACTTCCTCCAGATTTATCGGCTCGTTTGATGATGCCATTTCTCGACTGTGACCAATATATGTAGCCGTTATAACCATCAATGCCATAAGGATAATGGCTATAAGAGATAACTGTTTTAACATCCTTGAAATATGTCAAAGAGCCAACAACCCGATGGAAGAGCAGAAAACAGCCCAAGGCCACCGTTTCGTCTTTTACGCAGCGAGAAAATTCCGCACCCGGAGGCGGGCTTCTGAAGGCTCCTAAACAATAATGTATACTAGTTCAGCGATATGGACGCTATACTTAACTCCGAAACATATTAATGAATCAAAATTAAAAAACACACATGTCAAGACTAACAAAGGCTAGAGGTTCCTGACGGGACAGATGCATGCATGTGGCGGCCTTAACATATTTTGTGTGATCTCAATTCTCCCCTATACCTCTAGCCAGTGTGGAATAAACAAACACAGCAATACGCACAGTAAAACTCAGTCTAAAAGAAGTCCGAACCCGATGTTAGAATAGGTAACAGAAAAATCTTAGCAAAATTACAATGATCACCAAAAATTAACTGAGGACTTCTAGCAGTTACTGACATACCAGCCCCAGACAACAATTAAACCGATCGATAGATTATATCTTCATTATATGAAAATCAAGCACAATCCCTCTCGTAAGGTTGTAGAATTATGCCATCATAAATTATACGAGTCCCAAGTTTGAACAGTGTATTACTTGCAAATGTTTTTCATATACCTTCCCAATTTATTTTCCATGTTTTATTCCTTAAATCACAAGTAGGGAGATGAAATATCACTGGAAAAAAAATTGGGTCATGCATTTTAAGGTAAAGTAATGTTTGATCCAGTTGAAAAAAAATGTCAAAAATAGGTATGTTTGAATCTATCAAACTGAATTCAAAACCACCTCAACATAAAACTGTCCATAGTTTGAGTTGAGCTGGTAAACTTTTGTATAAATTTGATATAATTTGTCCTAAAAAAAGTACACAACACTGTAAAATTATTATTGTGCAAGCGCGTGTGTGATTGTTTTTTTTTTATTTGCATTCATTGCATTTATTGTTTAAAAGAAATACACTACAAATCAATAATGTTATCGAGCCTGTTGACCTCATCCATCACAAATAAGGAAATAACAAAAAAATAATTATCATCGTTGTAATCTGAGTCATCGTTTCGAAGAAACTAAATAATGTATTTTTACAAACATCTTTACGGATGTACCTGGAGAGTACATAACGCACCTGTCGAGGAGAATACAAAATATCAGTTGTTATTGCCAACACATCACAGTTTTTCGTCGTTAATCGTTATGGATGCGCATACCAAGCCTTTACATACCAGACTTTACAGTACAATTGCTTACATTCAACAGAAATATTGGAAATCCCGAATAAGGCAGTGCTTGAAATCACAAATTTGTAAATGCGTTCAATGCATCAGGATATCAGGAATGCATTACAGCGCATCCGATCTGCAACCGTCGCATTAAGACCGAGTCAACTAAGATTATCCTTTTTCAGTAACCGATGTTGATTTTACAGGAGCTTTGTACACAAAAAGAAACACAACGAAGTAAACAAAAAAATATATGTGTTTATTCACATGCGCCGCTACACGAGCTATACACTTAGAGATAGTCACAGATTATAAATTTAATAATAAATTGAAAATACTTTGACTTAGAAATTGAATGGGAGTGGTAGTTTTTATCTCAATTTACAACTTTTATCAAGAGACAGATTCTGACAAACACTGATTTTCGACACTTGTGAATTTGGGCAAAGTGTATTACCTGGACTGGACTGGACTGTGGACTGGACTGGACTAGACTGGACTCTCACATGTTTTTTTTTTAATAACATGCACTTATTTTTTGTTTGTTTATATGTTATCTTCTTGTTTATTACAACTGTACTTTGTTTTTTTTTTTATTAATAATATGATTTTAATATATAATCTTAAAATTGAGAATGGAAATGGGGAATGTGTCAAAGAAACAACTACCCGACCATAGAGCAGACAACAGCCGAAGGCCACCAATGGGTCTTCAATGCAGCGAGAAACTCCCGCACCCGGAGGTGTCCTTCAGCTGGCCCCTAAACAAATATGTATACTAGTTCAGTGATAATGGACATCATACGAAACTCCAAATTATACACAAGAAACTAAAATTAAAAATGATACAAGACTAACAAAGGCCAGAGGCTCCTGACTTGGGACAGGCGCAAAAATGCAGCGGGGCTAAACATGTTTTTTAAGATCTCAACCCTCCCCCTATACATCTAGCCAATGTAGAAAAAACAAACGTACAACAGTACGCACAGTAAAACTCAGTTTAAGAGAAGTCCGAGTCCGATGTCAGAATAGGAAACAAAAGAAAAAAAACAAAATGACAATAATACATAAATAACAACAGACTACTAGCAGTTACTGACATGCCAGCTCCAGACCTCAATTGAACTGATTGAAAGATTATGTCTTCATCATATGAATATCAGGCACAATCCCTCCTGTTAGGGGTTTAGTATTATACCATCATAAAATATATGAGAAGAACATAACCCGTGTCATGCCAACAACTGGTTTTAGAATAAATATGTTCAATTCCGATGCAAAGACCCTATAAGTGAATCAATATTAAAGCCAAAATATGCAATCTTTAATGACCTGACAACAGTATCGTAACTATATCCCTTCTAAATAAGTCTGTTTAATGGTTTTGTAAGCTTTTGAGGTGAATACTGACATTTTTGTGCTTTGTAAAATATATTACCATAAAAGATTGGATGTGAAATACCCGAACGTATAAGATGTCTGCATGTTGAGTTATATTTACGAATGATGTCCTTATACCGATGATAACATTTAGTAAATGTTTTGACTAGTTTATGATATCGAAAACCCTGGTGTAATAATTTTTCAGTAATACATAAATTTCTCTCGCTATAATCTAATACGTTGATACATACACGAGCGAATCGTACAAGTTGAGATATATAAACACCATAAAATGGTGACAATCTTGTCTGTGAATAGAAGTTGTATTAATTGATGACATTCAATCTTAAAACAGATGTCTTATATCTTTTTAGGTACAGATTGGAATGTCAGCATCAATTTTATTGTATAAAACAGATAGCAAGACAGATGAATAATCCTATATTGTTTATTGTTATGTGTATAATACATTTATCACCTTATTATATTTATTTCTGAAATTTATTATTGTGAACTTTGTTTCACATATAAATAAAAATAAAAATTTTCTTATTCCATTTAAGGGCCCATAATGAGAAAAGTAATATTTAATAATTGAGAGACACAAATTTTAAAGCTAAAGTTTAAAAGCTATAACTTTTTTAAATATGATAAAATTTAGTAAATGTTTTGACTAGTTTATGATATCGAAAACCCTGGTGTAATAATTTTTCAGTAATACATAAATTTCTCTCGCTATAATCTAATACGTTGATACATACACGAGCGAATCGTACAAGTTGAGATATATAAACACCATAAAATGGTGACAATCTTGTCTGTCAATAGAAGTTGTATTAATTGATGACATTCAATCTTAAAACAGATGTCTTATATCTTTTTAGGTACAGATTGTTTTGACTAGTTTATGATATCGAACTAATACTTTTAGATATTTGGATGATATTTTGGCTCTCAATAATGACGACTTCAGTATGTATACTAAAGAAATTTATCCTGTTGAACTTAATTTAAATAAAGCTAATACTAACAATGACCACTGCACTTTCCTCGATCTTGATATCTATATCATTAATGGTAAGCTTAATACTAAAATATATGATAAAAGAGATGATTTTTCATTTCCTATCGTTAATTATCCATTTTTAGATGGTGACGTTCCCTTGTCACCATCTTACGGTGTTTATATATCTCAACTTGTACGATTCGCTCGTGTATGTAACAATGTTTTAGATCTTAACGAGAGAAATTTATGTATTACTGAAAAATTATTACACCAGGGTTTTCGATATCACAAACTAGTCAAAACATTTACTAAATTTTATCATCGGTATAAGGACATCATTCGTAAATATAGCTCAATATGCAGACTTCTTATACGTTCAGGTATTTCACATCCAATTTTTTATGGAAATATTCCTTATAAAGCACAAAAATGTCAGTATTCACCTCTGAAGCTAACAAAACCTTTAAATAGACTTATTAAGAAGGGATATAGTTACGATACTGTTGTCAGGTCATTAAAGATTGCATATTTTGGCGTTAATATTGATTCACTTATAGGGTCTTTGCATCGGCACTAAACACATTTATTTAAAAACCAGTTGTTGGCATGACACGGGTTATGTTCTTCTCATATATGTTATGATGGTATGATACTATACCCCTAACGGGAAGGATTGTGCCTGATATTCATATGATGAAGACATAATCTTTCAATCAGTTTAATTGAAGTCTGGAGCTGGCATGTCAGTTAACTGCTAGTAGTCTGTTGTTATTTATGTATTATTGTCATTTTGTTTATTTTCTTTGGTTACATCTTCTGACATCAGACTCGGACTTCTCTTGAACTGAATTTTAATGTGCGTATTGTTATGCGTTTACTTTTCTACATTGGCTAGAGGTATAGGGGGAGGGTTGAGATCTCATAAACATGTTTAACCCCGCCGCATTTTTGCGCCTGTCCCAAGTCAGGAGCCTCTAGCCTTTATTAGTCTTGTATTATTTTTAATTTTAGTTTCTTGTGTACAATTTGGAGTTTAGTATGGCGTTCATTATCACTAAACTAGTATATATATTTGTTTAGGGGCCAGCTGAAGGACGCCTCCGGGTGCGGGAATTTCTCGCTGCATTGAAGACCTGTTAGTGACCTTCTGCTGTTGTCTGTTCTATGGTCGGGTTGTTGTCTCTTTGACACATTCCCCATTTCCATTCTCAATTTTATCTTTCTATTCTTTTAACAGTATCATAAGTATTTAGTTTGGGCATAGGTTTATATTTTAATCCCATGTACAATGAAAAACATAAGTTATACACAAACATCTTTAATTAAACTAAACTGTAGAAGTTACGTGTTGTTTTAGAAGCAATCTAAACTGTCATTAAGACAATGCTGTGTATCGTATATTATAAATCATTAGAATGACATTCAGTTTCAGATGTTTGTTATGATTTCATGTATCATTTTTCATCAAGCTATTGTTTGTTTTTTTAATTCTGATTGTCACAGGCTGACCCTAGGAGGTACTGTTTACCTGATCATAGCATTTTCTTTCAATTGTGTTTGCATACATTGTCAGACAATTTAGAAGTTCTAAGTTCGATTGGCTTTTGACAGACAAGCTAAGAAATTAAAATTCTATTACTGAATAAAAAGCATTAAGCACAGTTGTAATAAACAAGAAGATAACAAATAAACAAATAAAAAATAAATGCATGATATAAAAGAATATAAACATGCAAAAGTCCAGTCCAGTCTATAGTCCAGTCCAGTCTATAGTCCAGTCCAGTCTATAGTCCAGTCCAGTCCAGTCCAAGAGTCGTGAATTTGTCAGTAAAATATCCTCTAAAAATTACTCCCACCTTTAAAAATATAGATAATACATAAAGAAAGAGAGAAAAAAACATCAGATAACGAAGAATTAAGCTTTTAAGATATAGAATGATAAAGCTTTCATCATGTTCATCTACAAAGATAATTGCAAAAATAATTATCACTATATCAAAACCATGAAAGATAACTCAAATCAATTGTATGATAGTTATGGGATACGTGTTTATACGTGATCTTTTGTCAGTTAACATTATGGCGGGAATCTGGAGAACACCGTGATAAATAAAAGTACATGATTTCTATTATTCTTCATGCTGTTAAAACTATGTAACATGCACGAAAATTTCAGTGTAGGTTTTTTAAGTATTGGAATACTTTGTTTAAACTTAAGTGACTTATTTAACAAAATGCATACGTTGAAATCTTTTTACACGAAAGCACCATGTGCCTTGGCGTGTGTCTATAAAATAAATTTTACTTGTCCACAAATAACTGCGTTAAAAGCATACAATATTTTGCAAGAGAAACGGGTAAAGTGAAAAAAAACTAGACTAAAAAAATTATATGGTACATATTGAGGAGTAACATGTTTTCAATACCAACAAAAGGCATGTGCTTTTAAGCTTGATGCTTGTGTAAATTTTACTTTACCTATATATATTAGATTCGGAAAGTCGGCATTTGAGTACAGAGTTTGTCTGTTTGAACCATCCAAACCGATTTTTTCAATTTTTCCAGCGCCATTGTCAGTAAAATATATCACACTGAAAAGAAAAAAAAATAAACAAAAAGTAATATCATTGCTAACGCTTGTACATCTTCTACGTTATTATTAGTATTAGCAAGTCTCCCACTTTTATCATAACTTGGACTTTGGATTGAGCTTCTTTAATTCAGTGCTCTTAAGTTCGTTTCGGTAAACCTCTTAAATTGATTTCTATTCCACATCGTTCCCAAGATAACTGTTTCCATCCAGGTTATTATATACATGTACTAAAACATTTTTGAGCCAGGTTTTTGACATGCTAGCTCACAATAAGACATGTTACCCTACCCTGAAAATCAATCTGACTCCGAGCCAAGAGGTCGTTGTTCTTTCTCCTATAATGTCTTTTAGCGGCAAATGCAAATTCTAAGTCTTGAGTTTGTTACAGGACTATGACTTTTCCCGCAGATTTTATAAAGTAATATATGCTTTACAGAATATAAAGCCTTTGTATTTAACTAGAATACGCAAAGAACTCAGAGAGGATGCAAAAAATAAAATCACAAAAATACCGAACTTCAAGGAAAATTCGAAACGGAAAGTCCCTAATCGAATGGCAAAATCAAAAGCTCAAGCACATCAAACGAATGAATAACAACTATCATATTCCTGACTTGGTACAGGCATTTTATTATGTAGAAAATGGTGGATTAAACCTGGTTTTATAGCTAGCTAAACCTCTCACTTGTATGACAGTCGCATAAAATGTCATTATATTGACAACGATGTGTGAACAAAACAAGCGTTTGCCTGATTTGTCCGAAACAACGTAGGCTGCTTTCGTTAAATGCTTGGATAATAAAGGAAACATAACACTTGTACACAGAAAACATTGAATTCATAGCTATGAAATCGAGTCCTAAACAAACTGATTCATGAATTGTTCAATTGCTGCAAATACAAATCAAACATACGATCAAAATTTGAATGCATTTTCTAGATTGAGAGATATTCATAAATTAGAGCACAGTTTTGCAATACCCTTGAAATACCTTAAGCAATTCATTGCATAATTGTCTTGAGTAGATGGTGACATCTACAGTTAAGTAAATTTGCAAGTTGTATATGTTAAGCATCAATTTTTACAATAAGATTAATAGTTATTATGATCTTTCTTAATTATTTGTTGTTTCAAAAATGTTGGATGCAATGAAAAGTTCATGGTAAAAAAAATCAGACTGCACATTACTAGTGATTTATAAGTGAAATAAAATATAGAAATTTTGTATGCACTCTGTAACTCCAGTTACGAATCATTATTACTCTCAATTACAGTTTCCATAATGACATTGGATGTTTTTGTAGTTTTTCGAGTTAGTGAAATGACAACAGCAACTCAAAGGCCGTGATCGAAAAATGCTAGAACTATTTAAAATGTTGATGTTACACGATAAAATGCCAGAATAAATATTTCTTATTCAAAAAGTGACCTGTTTGGTAAAATAACATTAATTATTGTAGCACAGCAATCATGAAATGAAATATGTTCGGTTAACCTTTGCTATACTTTTTGTCTAGAATCGACCTCCAATTAGTGGTCTATTCAATTGTCAATTTGAATGTTTCCCCTCACTCCATACAAAGTTCTCAGGGATTCTAAACTTAGTTATTTAGTACATTGACATTGACAAATCAAAGTATTGAGCTTATGCTTTTCGCATTGATGGTGCGACCTTTGCAACTATGCTAAGTTTTTTCTGAGTAACACATTAAAGTAATGGGTCGTTTAAATTCGGAAGCTCTCTCTTAAAAATGCATTTAACTATGCAAGAAACAGAACTGGAGGTGTTCATTTAGGTCTTCAAATAAAGGAGTTCATATTTGATTGTATGGGAATGAGGTGATGGTTTTAAAGCTTTGAAACCAAACATTAAAAACTTGTTGAAATATGAAGAAACGCAGCCCTCCCCACAGGATATTGTCGTACAGCAGGTAATGATTCGTGGAAGAAAACGTTTTGCTACTTGACAAACGAAATTAAAAATACATTACAAAGGTACAGGGTTATTTACTGAATAGATACAAATGTTTTGTCTAATATGATACCACAGACATCTTGGCGTTATCGAGAGAATTCATACAGCATGGTGGCATTTCGAATAAGGATTAACAGTTCAATATCACCTTTTAGATAGGAATGTTGGAAATGATATTAAGTACCCGGATATTTTCCTTCTGATGTGTATTTAAAAGAAGACGGTGTTTTATTTGACGGATCTTGGAAATGATCTTTTGCAAAAGAGGGACGAAAGATACCAGAGGGACAGTCAAACTCATAGATCGAAAACAAACTGACAACGCCATGGCCAAAAATAAAAAGACAAACAGACAAATAATAGTACAGATGACACAACATAGAAAACTAAAGACTTAGCAACACGAACCCCACCAAAAACTGGGGGTGATCTCAGGTGCTCCGGAAGGGTAAGCAGATCCTGCTCCACATGTGGCACCCGTCGTGTTGCTTATGTTATTACAAATCCGGTAAATAGTCTAATTCGGTAAGTCACATTCGTGAAAAGGGAAGGGTATTGTAGTTACGACATAAGGAACATATCCGATATCATCTGTGAAACGGTTATTCCATAACGGTCAACCAACTCGTGATGGCGTCCGTAAAATTTACGAAGGGATGATTTCAACTTCACCATTTGGAACTCTTGGCTTAATAGCTTCCTTGTGAGCAGCAATCCTCTATCAAGGAAATCATGATAGGAAACACAAGCCCGGGAATATCGTATCAATTGGGAGATATATACTCCGTATGCAGGCGATGCTGGAATGTTGCTACATAGAAATGGAAAGTTCACAATTGGGAAGCTGAAATCATCTCTTTTGTCGTAAAGTTTTGTTTTCAACCGACCCTCATTGTCAATTTCTAGATGTAAGTCAAGATAAAGTGCAGTAGAAAAGTTTATTTGTTTAGATGGTTCGACATTATTTGTTACACTTTTCTTTTACATGAAAAAGTTCACATGATTTTATATTCATAACTATTCTAACAAATAAAAAAATCCCGTTGAATTTTGTAGTATCTAGGGTCTACTTTAATTGTCGCTTTGCAGTATAAAAAACTCAAAGTTGAAAATGAATATTACTGGAACTATGATGGTAATAAAGCCCAGTATATGCTTAATGGTTATGTTTTAGAATAGTTCAATCAAGTCATTTGGTATATTGAACATTGTAATTTAGACTACGCAGGTGAGACTGTTGTTTACGTCATTGGCAAATTTACAAAATGCAACAAATAAATTACGATGAGATTTGTTAAGATACTGTTAGGCAGTATAAGGCAAACCCTGTTGTAAATGATACTGACGACAATGAAAACAAAATCAACATAGCAGTGTAAGAGCAATAAAAAGCACAAGTTCAATGCGTAACAAATAAGGTTACGTTTTCATCAAATTTCGTTAATAATTCTGCTCAGAATATACCTAATATTCAAGCAAAATTCCAAAAGCAGCCCTTTTTGGAACCTCAACCCGTTTGATATGTCGGTTTCCTATTATAGTACAAAGTGCCCAGCATGAGTGTAAGTCAGCAAAAATTTGCATTTGACAAGACAAAAACGGATGATTTCATTAAAGATGAGTATTTAAATATTTCTTTTGATAGTCATTCGAGTGCAAAATATCTTACACACAACTATTGTGAATAGAAACAACGCCAGGCAAATTAAATAATCAAAGGAAAATTTAAGAGACGTATTTATTTTTGGTATAATATTGGATGCTATGATTGGCACTATTTTCAAAAGATATGGAATACTACATCACCTTCTGTTATTAAGTATACCAATTGTTCTGCCATTACAAATCGTGATGTTTTATGCGCTATTGATGATATTTTGATAAGAGGGGACTAGTTATGAATGTACTTTACACAGTTGGTTGTAAATCCTCTTACTGTCTATATTAATTAAAGACAATGGTAAGAAACAGCCGAAAGATACCAAAGGAATAAGCAAACTTATTAGTCGAAAACAAACTGACAATTCCATAGCAAAGTCTACGAAAAACGATCAAAAGACAAACAAAAGTATACAAAACACAACACAGAAAAACAAAGACTGTGCAACATCAATCACGTGATATGGGAAGAAAGAAGTGTTTGATTTTATATCTATGTCATGTCAATTTACATCTGTAAATTTGGAGATATTCGTGTAGCTATGCAATTTACCAAAAAGGATTTCTTTTTTTTATAGTTTGATATACATTCAGGGTACCACCATTGAGTCATATATGAGCCCCATATTGATTACATAATCAAGAGCCCTATCATGTTCGTATCAAAAAATTAAAACATTCATAATTTGCAAAGTCAATCAAATATCCTTGTCAAAACTAGAAATTGTATGTAAATAGTGGAAATATGCCACATGTATTTCAACGTTGTAAACGTTGATTCATAAATATCTAGCTTTGCTCCTGCAACGAAGATTTCGGTCTCTTTCGTTTCGTTTCGACATCAGAACTAAGCAAGTACTCTTTAGTCTAACATTTATTTTTCACAAAAACGTGTAATGGTATATCTATAATCAAATCAATGATGAAAACCTATACATCCTACTACATATAGCTTATTTTATATAGTTCCATTAGTCGAATTTGAAAATGAAAGTAATTCATATGATAAATAAAATAAAGTTTACTTTATGTCATTGTATATTTAGTTGTTATAAGTAGTTTTGTTTATCATCATTCATAATATCCTAAATAGAATTGTACACCGTTTCTTGGTTCAGTTTTCATTCCATAATATCAGTTAAAGTTCTTTTTTCTCTCTATGGTAGACAGTAACATTTTGTTTACACCACTCCTCTGAAAGCTTTCACAACTTGTAGAGGTGATGGTCAACATGTTAAACTGGTGGTACTATTTCGGCAGTTTGATTTGAGAGTTTATGCCGAAGTTATTTGACTTGACATTTTTGAAAATAGTTTGACAACTATTGAACGCTACTGCTCTGGCACAATATCTCCAAAATCTTGAAAATCTCGTAGTATTGTTTGTCATACTGATTTTTTTAATAAAATAGTCACACCCTTTTAGGTGTAATTGTATCGTGTGCAGTTAATTAAATTTAACAGTCTTGTTATTTGACAATTTTTTCACGTGTTATTGGACTTTGACAAATCTATTAAGATTTATGACACATTAGAAACATTACTGCTCTCTCCCAGACTATGTCTGAAATCTTGAAATCAAGAATTGTTTGTCGAATTATGCATCAAACCATAATATACTGCCATTAGGTGAGACCATTTTCGCAGAAGATATGAGATATTAACTTTCTGATTAACGGTGCCAATGTTACTGCACTAAAACGCATTTCGACAGGTACTGTCTCTTCAGTGATGCTCGAGGCCGAAATATTTGAAATACCAATACAATACATACACTGCAGAGCTGAAAAAACAAACAAAATATGCCATAAAATTTAGCCGATTAAATTCCTCCCATTGTAGCATAACGATAGCTTGTGAAACGTCTTAAATTTAGTGCGATTGTTAGCATCATGTGTGTTTGATCATACTTTACAGCCTTTTCATTTCCAAATTTTATATGAGTTATATGACGTTGCCCGCATATCAATTTAAATGTGACGCCTTATTATACGAGTATGGTGATTTAATTGCTATTATATAATACAATAATTGATTTTGTAGAAGAGAGACGAAAGATACCAAAGGGACATTCAAATTCATAAGTCGAAAATAAACAGACAATGCCATGGCAATATGGAGGGGTGAACGTTGAAATAGAAGGGGGCGTAAGAATATAAATCGATTTAATGAAGTGTTAAAACACTAAACAGAATAATCAATGAAACATAAAAGTATATTGAAATTTAATATTGCAGTGCAACAATAAGCATTTATTATAGGATTGAAAAGTCTTTATCTTTAATAGGAAAATATCCCATGAAGTATCTTGCTAATATTACGTTATTTGACCTTATTGTCATAATATTATTTCGTAACAGATAGCACTAAGTCATAAAAAGAAAATAGGGCTAGAGAATCCTATACATTTGTATATTTAAATGCGATAGTACTATGTTTCTTAACCCCAGCATATTCATTTTACCACGGTCATTGATCACGGTAAATACCACACTTTGAACTTAAAAAAAATCATCACAGAAAGCTCATTTTAAATCATTATAATCTACAAGAGTATCAACGGATTTTGAATGCTTTGCTGTGTAATTAAGGAATTTTGATTGTTTTCTAAAGGTCATTTAATAAACACTCAAATAAAATAAATCATACTAGTACCTGTTTTCGGTGTCCAAAGCTATCCCTAGTATTTTGTTTATACTAGAGTCCTGTAGAATAACACGTTGATTAAATCCGCATAGATCTGCTTTTGTTATTGAATCGGCATAGTCATCAGCCCAGTAAATATAGTTATTGATGCTGTCAACCGCCACACCAATAGGCCTGTGGTCATCTAATGCCTGTATTATTATCTCAGAAGAAGCTGTGTTGCCATTTGGTGGATAACGTATTCTAGAAATATACTTCTTTTTATCATTTGATTAGAGCCACATAAGAAAGGTTTCTATTTCTAACCGGCTATTTTTATCATTCACGAAATAGCATAAAATTTTGAAAGTAAGTGTCTGTGAGCCCTCTAAATAAAAAGTACCTTGTGGACAGTTTTATTTTTATTTTTCAAGCTGGGTTAACTAAAGGAAACAGTAGTATACCGCTGTTAAAAAAAGAGTAAAATAGAGTATGAATCATTGTTCTATACAGGCTGTAAAAATTTAAAATTGAGAATGGAAATGGGGAATGTGTCAAAGAGACAACAACCCGACCAAAGAGCAGAAAACAGCTGAAGGCCACCAATTGGTCTTCAACACATCAAGAAGATCCCGCACCCAGAAGCGGGCTTCAGCTGGCTCCTAAACAAAAATGTGAACTAGTTCAGTGAAAATGGACGTCATACTAACCTCCAAAACATATAAATGAACTAAAATTAAATAAAAATCATACAAGATAAACAAAGGCCAGAGGCTCCTGACTTAGGACAGGCGCAAAAATGCGCGGGGTTAAACATGTTAGTGAGATCTCAACCCTCTCACCATACCTCTAGCCAATGTATATATATATATACGATATACAAAATGTGTATTCATTTTGTTATTTTTATTTAAGAACAATAAAATTGAGAATGGAAATGGGGAATATTACATATCGTTATATTAAAAATCGTCGAACAGCGGTATACTACTTTTGCCTTTATTTACATTATTCCTACCAGTTTCCCTCCTCAATAAAACAGTATTCTTCTAGCTGCAGTATAAATGGTTTTATATATTATAGCCTAGTTGATCGGTCTAGGGCGTAATTTACAGTGCTTGAGGTGTTGTGACGATGTCACAAAAGCATGGGTTCCCGGTGATCGAAAGAAAAATTAAAAATGCAGATTTAACATTTTTGGGCAAAATTTCAGGCACAATTTATGTAATTTTGTGTGGAGGTAGTACAAAATACGGCTGAAATGTCTACAGAGTTATGAATAAGATATTTAATTTTGTCAATGTAAAAACCCATCAACACTTAAAACATAGATTTTAAGGTTTAAGTAAAAAGGAACATACATTAGCAATCTGTTAGATGGACATTTTTAAAATTATGCAAATACATGTACTCCTAATAACGTTGCAGTTAGTACAAACCTAGAAAGTGCACGAGTAGTAAGATCAGTATAGTATAGCAGACCAAGTCGATTGTGATAATCTATCGCAGCATTTGAAACGGCATCAACAATAACAGTAATATCTCCATTGTTCAAGTCCAATGAAATTATTCCATCATCGTGTTCTAAAGCTAGAAAGAGCACTGGTTCACTACCTAAAATAAAAAGAGAGCTTTCTACACAAGGAAATGCTTGTGTACAAAGTCAAAATATGACAGTTGTTTTCCATTCGTTTGATGTGTTTGAGCTTTTTATTTTGCCATTTGATAAAGGACTTTCCGATTTGAATTATCCTTGGAGTTCGGTATTTTTGTTATTTTACTTTTTTTCATAGTCATTTTTTATATCTCAAAAGCAGTTATTGCAAATATAATACACATTTAATTATACAACATTAACTGTACCAATTTTATTGTACTAGATTCACTTTCCGACAATTAATGTCTTTTCATCGATGCCAGTCCAAAATATGTATGATATTCTTTTTAATTTTGTAGAAATATATCGATCATAATTTCATTATTATGTCGGTCATACACATGATATAAAATTTGGATTATTGACAAATAGGCAAACTTTTATGCAATTTCTTTTGTTATAATTAATTGTGACCATCAGCTTTTCTTCATAAGGCCTTAAATATCCTATCAACCTTTTATCAAATACATGTTATGACAAAGATTCTTAGATGATAATATTGTTTGTCAAATATTAATGTCAAACAAAATGAAGTGGTTAATGCACAAAATATAGAGTATTGAGAAATATCGTATAGTCAACAATGAACTAATTACTTTAACAAATATAATACGTAAAACGAAAAGGCAAACTAGAATTTTAGAAATGATCTTATTCGATATTTTGAAACTCAATTATGCACAACTTTCGAAATAACTTTAAGACTTTTGGAGCGCTATCGGATTATAAAACTGAACTAAATGTAAACTCCGGCATTTATTTTAAACGATCTCATTATGATCCTTTTTTAATCACGAAAATAAATGTTGAGATTTTGACACATCCTTTTTCTTCTATTGTAGATATACGTGCTTATACACATAATTCAATTGAACATTGATACTGGAAAACCATTAAAACAGTATCGATTAGGTTGGAATATTTTACTCCAACAGACTTTAACAGACGCTTACTTTTAATGTTTTTATTTGAAGAAACAAAAAAGTACAAAGGTACAATTTTGGACATCAAATATGCTTTTTTGTTTTAATAATGATATGTGTTTTATGAGGTTCTAATGAACTCATAATAAAGCTCGAGTTTGAGGTAAAATAAATACAATAAGATTTTGATATTTGAATACTTTTTTCCACTCGAATTCAGATCAAAGTTCATCACTACCACTCCTGTATTGAGTCATTGTCCTTGAGTGACAATTGTTTGACTTTTTTCCCCTGAGATTGCGGTTTTGGACACAATAACATATAAAAAGATAGGCAGAAATGATCAACAAGATCTACGAATAAGTGAAATATTGAGTAATTGCCCTTAAATGACAATTGCTTGCCTTTTTTTTTTAAATTGTGGTTTTGAAGACAATAGCAGATAAAAATCGACACGATCTACAAATTAATTACATTGCCTAAGTCACTTGTCTCCTATAAGAGTGATTACTCTTAACAGACGATTTACACATATTTTGGAATTTTTCTAAGCTCTTGTAAAAGAATTTAAATAGAAAGTGTTACGGCAAGACAAGATCTACAAAAAAGTAAACAATACAAACATCGTCAATCTTCTCCTTATATGCCTTTGAACGATGATTTTTTGTGGGAATATATGAGCTTTTTTCGACAACTTCAGAAGAGAGAAATTGTAGTTCGTAAAAATTATCAGTATAATAAGACCCAGTTGTAGTAATAACATAAACAGTACCAATTTTCTGCACCAGATGAGCATTTCGACAATAAATGTCTCTTCAGTGATGATCGAAGCCAAAGTATTTGAAAATCCAAAGCTTACTTAAAAATTTAAGTAGTAGTAAAACCAAAAAAAATATTCAAAAGAATAACTACAAATAAGTCGATATGAATGGACTCGTTAATCGAATCCTTATGTGAGTTTTTGCCTCAAATCCCAGGCACTTATATCTGTAAAAAATAATTATATACTTTTAAGGTATCTAAGTATTTTTTGCAAAAACAACTGCCTAAGATCTAATTTACTTTTGTTTATTTTTTTTTGATTTTTATCATTATCATAAAAACTGTAATAGATATATATAGAGATAAACTTGATTCAGTAAAAATTTTCCTTTCAACATAAATACTCTAGTTGCATTTTATCAATTTTATTCAAAAAATGACAGGTGAGCGATACGCGTTCCTTGGAGTCTTTAGTTTTAAGTTTGGTGGTTATTACTTCAGAATTTTTCAAAGCAGTTTATATATGAAAATTCAATCATAGGTTGATGTTAAACTTTTTATAAAGCCATAAAACTTGAAACCTAGTTCGGATCGTTTGATAGACTGCATCTTGTAAATGTTCGGCAAGGCAACACATATATTTTCTTTAAACCAACTTCTAGTTCAAAACTGTCTGCTACACGATTAGAATCTACCGAAAGATTTTGAGAGTAACGTTATTTAAATATAAAATTTGAGACGCAATAAAATCCCGTTTCAGAAAGATTTCAAGAATCATAACAAAAAGTTCTTGTGACAAATATTTGTTGTTTTAATATGATCCAGAATGGTCTTAACGATGCTGTCGGACATCAGGTAAGTAAACACGCTTTTTGTGACTTTTCGGAAGAACACAAAAGAGGGACGAAAGATACCAGAGGGACAGTCAAACTCATAGATCGAAAACAAACTGACAACGCCATAGCCAAAAATAAAAAGACAAACAGACAAATAATAGTACAGATGACACAACATAGAAAACTAAAGACTAGGCAACACGAACCCCACCAAAAACTGGGGGTGATCCCAGGTGCTCCGGAAGGGTAAGCAGATCCTGCTCCACATGTTGCACCCGTCGTGTTGCTTATGTTATTACAAATCCGGTAAATAGTCTAATTCGGTAGGTCACATTCGTGAAAAGGGAAGGGTATTGTAGTTACGACATAAGGAACATATTCGATATCATCTGTGAAACGGATATTCCATAACGGTCAACCAACTCGTGATGGCGTCCGTAAAATTTACGAAGGGATGATTTCAACTTCACCATTTGGAACTCTTGGTTTAATAGCTTCCTTGTGAACAGCAATCCTCTATCAAGGAAATCATGATAGGAAATACAAGCCCGGGAATATTGTATCAATTGGGAGATATATACTCCGTATGCAGGCGCTGTTGGAATGTTGCTACATAGAAATGGAAAGTTCACAATTGGGAAGCTGAAATCATCTCTTTTGTTGTAAAGTTTTGTTTTCAACCGACCCTCATTGTCAATTTCTAGATGTAAGTCAAGATATGAGGCAGACTTAACTGTATCTGTAGTATCCTTTATCTCTAGTTCGATGGGATAGATTCGTTCAACATAGTCACCAAATGTATGTATTATTTAGTGAGAGAACATCGTCTATATAGCGGAACGTAAAGTTAATGGATATTGCTTACTTCTTATCTTTCTTCCTAAGAAGTTCCTGTATGAAGTCAGCCTCATAATAATAAAGAAACAAGTCACAATTGTTTCAATCATTAATTTTAATTTGAAATAATAATATTTCGTAATTTTATTCATTTTCACATCTTAATTTAGTCATTTTGTATATAATTTTTATAAAAAAAATTAAAGGTAACACTAAGGAAATGGTATGAAATTTATATGCATCACTTTATTGATTGACATACAACTTCGGGTAATCATAAGGACAAGTAAGATTAAATTCTGACAAAACCGACAAAAATAAACAAAAAACATTTTTTTTGTTTTTTAGAACTTTTAAAATTATCTTACTAGAGAGTTGATGACTTGAGATCAATTTCCAAGGGAAACTCATTAAAAATAGTTGATCGGCACTTATTTTTGAAATTGTAAGAGACATTGCTGTTATATACCTTTGGTATGAATTAGTAACAAATCTGGCAAAATTGTACATGCGAGAGCACTTGCAATGCAATTTTTTATATAATCAATGTTTCCACGGGGCATAATTTCTTTGGAAAATACTTGATCTACACTAATTTTCGAAATCGTCCAAGACATTGCTCATATAAATCTATGATATAAGTTTCATAAAAGCTATCAAGAATTGTACAAATGAGAGCGCTAACAATGCAATTTGCCATATAACTAATGTTTCCAAGGAGCAAAACTCTTTTAAAAATACTTGATCGACACTGATTTTCTAACTCGTTCAAAACATTGCTGATATAAACCTATGATATAAGTTTCATAAAAATCTGGCAAGTAATCTACACATGGGAGCGCTAACAAGATCGGACGGACGGCCGGTATTTCTATGTTCCATTCAACGCGTTGCGCGGGAAACAAAAATGCATATATGTTTAAGTGTCAATTTCTTTTTTATATCTTGAAGTCTTACAAATTGTACTTATATTTTAACAATTTAATATTGTATTAGTTAATTCTCCTTCTTTCTACTCCGAAGTAATGCAATTTTTACATAGATGTAGTTTAGCATATTATCTTTACGTTATTTCAGAATTCAGTAATTTTTTAATATTATGAAGAAGTTCATCTGTTGGATAGAATCTCTGGATGATACTGTAGAATAAATAAATTATATGAAATTAAGCATACATACAGTTGTATTAACATTAAAAATAAACTAACCTTTAATAAATATGATATTTATGGCGAAAAGGCAAATGAAGACTTTCGCAATTGTCTTATATGACATTGTATAGTCCAATTACTTTTTATCAATCTCTTTAATAATAACATTAAGATCTAGAGCAACACCATTTCATAAATATGAACTAGATGTAAACCACGGCGCATGCTAACAATGAACAATGTTACTTTGCATAATATAATCTTTTGTTCTTTTATCAAAATTATAACTGTTGAAATCTTTACACATGTTAATTCTTCTATAATAGATATGGGTGCGTATACACTCAATTCAATTGACCACTGATACTAAATAACAAACCATTCAGACAGAAGATATTTTATTTTACATCCTATATAGAATATTACACTTAGATACTTTTAAAAGCTCATAATTTATTTATTTATTTATTCGAATGAAAAAATATTAGAATGGTGTCATTTTAGACATCAAATATGCTTTTTATACAAATATAGAAAAACAAGTATAACAAAAATACTGAACTCCAAGGCAATTCAAAAAGGGGAGCCCATAAACACTGAAAAAATCTACTGCATTATTTCTGACTTAGTGCACGCATTTTCCGAAGAAAAAGGTGGGTTAAAACAGTATATTATGAAGTTCTATTAAACTTATACTAAAGGTCGAGTATACAGCTTACACAAATACAATAAGATTGTGCATACTTGTATCAACTTTTATTCATAACAGAGCTCATCAATGGCATTAACTGCTGCTCCTATGTTGATTCATTGTCCTTGATGACAATTTTTTGTCATTTTTTCTGGGATGGTGGTTTAGAAAACAATTATAAAAAAAGAACGCATAAATGATCAACAAGGTCTACAAATTAGTGAAACAAATCAAGTCACTTGACCCTCATTAGTGTTATATTACCCTTTAAAAGACAATTCTTACCTGTTTTTGAATTTTTTGCTAAAATCTTGTAAAAGATTGTAGATGGAGTGAACGCAATGTAACATCGATCGATTAGAAAAAAATAAATAAGACAAACATTATCGATCTTCTGCCTTTATAGTAACTGCCGTTCAATAATGACTTTTTGGCATTGATGCCTTTTTCGCGGCAAATATAGAAGACAGACAGAAACTGATAATCGTAAAAAAGATCAGTATAATAAGGTCTAAAAAAAGTAAAGTTGTGCAAATTCATCAGTCGGCCTATAAAAAAAAATGCGAATAACACTTTATAGAGTACGTGCATCCGAAGCGCTTTTCTTGATTAACCTTCATCAGGAACGTTCAAAGCCAATATTTGAAAACCAGGGATGTATAAGAACCGAAACAGCTGAAGAGCTATATGATAAACAAGGACATAAAAAAATAGAGCCAAATCTTTGCTTGAGGGAGTTGAAACATTAGTTTCTTTATTGTTTCAAAATTAATAAACCGACAATTTTAGAAAGATTTGTTATAAATGTCAGTCCGAAGTACCGACTACTGAGCTGATGATAACCTCGGGGACTGATAGTCCACAAGCAGAGGTATCGACACAGTGTTGTAAAAATGAGAATAACACGTTATAATTTACATGCATGCGTATTGCTTTAATTTCTGGATTTTCCTTCATCAGTAACACTCAAAGCCAAATATTTGAAAGCGAAGGGTGTATAAAACCAAAACTTTGAGAAGCTATATGATCAAATTGGACCTAAAGTAGTAATTGTCCTTTAGTGAATTGTACCATTTTTGTGTTGCTTTTTAGTGGAAACCAGGGCCGTAACTACTTAGAACATTAAGGCAAATGAGGCAAATGCCTCATGTTTGAAATTTAAAAAAAAAGTTGAAACAAAAGCTTGTCATCATATCAAATTGTTTTAACAGCGAGTGTCTTGTAAGAATCAAGTTCTGTTCACCCTCTGACTATGTTTTTTCGGGATCCATATTTTTAATTTTTAGTTTTTAGTGTTGATGGGTCTACTGTTTGTCAATATGTGTCTTACATCTGTTCCCAGGGTTGTCTTTTGTTCATTGACTGCCCTTGGCCATGGCGTTGTCAGTTTGTTTTCGATCTATGAGTTTGACTGGTATCTTTCGTCCCTCTTTTATGACTATTCTCCTAGTGTTGAATTTCATATGTAAACTAGTATTTTGTTTTAAACTTTCGTCTAATTTAAAAAACTGCTTTAAATTGTAAAAATATTTCAAATTGGCTCTCGCATTTATGTTGTGAGGCGGCTAACACCAATCAATCAATGACTATATGGCTTCATTTGTACATACTATTCCGTGTTATGAACGTTCATTCTCCACTTTGCGTAGATATAAGACTTGGGAAAGATCTACGATGACTATTTAACGATCATGTGTTGTTTGGCAATGTTACATGCCAACGGATGTCAAGATATTGCTAGAAAAAATGTTTTGAGAAGATACGATGCTACCGGACATAGAAACATTTGTCGTTTTTTTCATGGAAATGAAACTTTATATTAAAGAATACAAAACTGGCTCTCTTTTCTGTAAATAAAACTAAGAAGCTGATATGGGTTAAATTAAAGTGAGACAACCCGATCTCCCAGAATCAAATCATTTAAAAAAAATAATGTATTGCCATATGACCTTTAACATTGAAGGCTAAACTTGCATAAAGCCGTGTTCAGGCCCTAAAATAGAAAATAAAGGGATATGGAGTAAATGTTAAAGGGACAAAATCGCACGCAGTACATAGAAAAATAACAAATTATTTCCCAAACTTGATCGTCCTGAAGATCACAAAAAAGCATTTTATTAAATCAAATATATTAATAAAGGTTTTGATTGTGTAAATATTGCCGGAATTTTTAATGATCACTCCGTTAATGAACAAATTTCTGGATATTTTTATAATACTGAGCTCCCTCTTATTTGTTATGTTTACAAAAAATATACCCGGAAATATCTATTTTTAAAATTATAGCGAAGAGTTTAAAGATGTTAATATCAGTGAGTACACCTACGTCATGAAATTGCAGTAATTCCGAATACATTTATGGCCCCAGTTCCCATGTTATAACAGGAGACCTTAACATCCTCTATGACCGATAGTTGAAATCATTCCTCAGTCAAGGACCTAAATATCGCCCCCCGTAAATTATTAAAATGAAATGAGTGTCGTAACATCATCAACGACTCTCTCCGTACTTACTGCACGAAATGGATAAAACGAGAAAAAGCTGACAAAAAAATCCTTAGATTCTTTTTTATAATTCGGTAATGAAAATAGTAAACATTTTAAAGAACATTTTACTCCTAAAACAACCATACTAGCTCTTTTTCTCGTATCAAGCATAAGCTAAAAGACCTCGCCAAGGAATTTGTTTTTGTACCAGCTGTTAAGGCTGCCAATTATCATTATTATTTGACGTTAATTTTTTACATTGAGGCTCTGCAAGAGGAAATCACGAATTCACCAACATTCCAACTGACTCCATTTTCGGAAAATGACATCTGTAACAAACATAAACGTTTAGCTACCTCTTTAAAAGCACAACCAAAAACAATGAAAGTTCCAACTATGTACTGGCTTTCGAAGCTGCACATAACACCTTACAAATATATATTTATTTCGTCTTCAAGACATTGTTCCATTACTAAACTCTCCATTCTACTTACTAGTACAATTGGTACAATCAAATACCTGGTAATAAATTGTTCAAATAAGGCCTTTAAAAATAGTGGAATTAATTACTTTTGGCGTGTCAAAAGTTCTTTGGAAGTACTTGATAAATTGCAAGCTTATATTGGTGATTTCGAATCTTTTTAAAGTTTTGATTTTTCTACCCTATATACCACTTTGCCTCATAATCTTATTAAGAAAAAATTCACACACCTAATTAAATGGGCATTTAAAAGTCGGAATGCGAATATATATATATGTTCAAATTCTTTTACATCTTTTTTAAGTAACAACAAATAAAAGAACCTGTCAATTGGACCTGCTTTGATACGATAACTGCACTTGAATTTTTACAAGATAACATTTTTGTTCGCTATGGAGATTCCGTATATCGTTAAGTTATCGGAATTCCAATGGGGACTAACTGTGCACCACTTATTGCGGACCTGTTCCTGAATTGTTATGAGTTACAATTTATGACTTCAATCAGCAAAGACCCATCGAAACAACATCTGATACAAAAATTTTATAACACTTTTAGATATTTTGATGATATATTGGCTCTCAATAACGACGACTTCAGTTTGTACACTAAAGAGCTTTATCCTGCTGAACTGACTTTAAATAAAGCTAACACTAACAATGAACACTGTCCTTCCTGGATCTTCATATTTATATCTTTAACGGGAAGCTTAATACTAAAATTTACGATAAAAGATATGATTTTTCATTTCCTATTGTTAATTATCCATTTTTAGATGGCTACGTTCCCTTGTCACCATCTTATGTCTTATATCTCAATCTCAACTTGTTCGAGCTGCTCGTGTATGTAACAACGTTTTTGAATTTAACGAAAGAAATCTCTGAATTATTGAAAAATTATAACACCAGGATTTTTGATATCACAAACTAATCAAAACATTCACTAAATTTTATCATCGGTACAAGGACATATTCGTAAATATAAATCAACATGCAGACATCTTATACGTTCAGGTATTTCAAATCCGATATTTTATGGTAATATTCCAAACAAGGCACAAAAATGTTGTCATTCACTTCAAAAGCAAACCACACCTTTAAACAGACTTATTGAGAAGGGATAAAGTTACGATACTGTTGTCAGGTAATTAAAGATGGCATATTTTGGAATTAAAATTGATTCACTCATAGGGTCTTTGCATCGGAAATAAACCAGTTGTTGGCATGATAAGGGTTATCTTCTTCTCGTTATATTTTATGATGGTATGATACTAAACCCCTAACGGGAGGGATTGTAGTTGATTTTAATATCATGAAGACATAATCTTTCAATCAGTTTAATTGATGTCTGAAGCTGGCATGTCAGTAGTAGTTCTTAGCTAATTTATGTACCATTGTCGTTTTGCTTAGTTTTTCCTGTTTCTTTTTCTTACATCGGACTTGGACTTCATTTAAACTGAGTTTTACTGTGTGTATTGCTGTGTGTTTGTTGATTCTACATTGGCTAGAGATAAAGGGGAAAGGTTGAGATCTCATT